TGATGGGAAACTTCAGGTGAAGTTTCAGCGGGCATATTACCATGTGATATGTCATCCTATCCAAAAATGCTTTTACTGGACGAGCAATTTTTGTAGATGATGAGTCACGTCTTGATGAGAATCATAAAGTTGTGCTGGAAAGAGAACTTGACCTCAAGTTCAAGGAATAATAACATTTATTTACTTCGCTCCTTTGAGGCCCTGAGTCATATGATCTACACCGTAGCTCTTCAAAAAGTATTTTCAATTTCTCTTAAGGACTTCAATTTCGTGACTTCCTCAACCTCTAGACTTGAGCTCTATCCCATATTATTATTATTATAACATACTGGTAGAGATCAAGTCGAGAGATCAAGGATCATAAAAGAATCAGAAGAATGACAAAGAAGCCCTAAAAGGAGATCGTTTAGTGTGGAAATATATCTTCGAACTTTTGAATCTTATTGCCCTCTTTCTCTGTCATTTAGCCTGTAATCCCATCAATGCCATGGAGATGATGCTGCTCGGGGAGACAGGCAGCAAATGTTTTAACCTTGTGACTCAGTGTCATCATTCTTACTTCATGCTTTGTCTGAGTTGCCTTAACTGCTTTTGCTATAATGTTTCAGAAGCATTTTTTAGGAAGATGCTGCCTTTGTTGTTTATGTGCAATAGCAAGAAATATCTCAGTCTGCCGAGACTGAAAGTTAAAATAAATACAAGCCAGACAAAAAAAGGAACATCTAAGAAAATAACACAAACAAACAAGACCTCAGATTGGTTCAGTTTAATTAATACCAAAATACGTTAGTTTACTGGTCATAAAGGCAGTGGTGGTGTTACACAAAGTGGTGGTGTTATCATCGAAATGTGAATAGTTTTCTTTTTTATGTTATTTTATTTTTTAATTTGTGTATGTATGGCAGAAGAGCCCCCAAGGGGAGCAATGCCATAAAGTATGTATATATGTATCTATTTATGTAATTTTGTTTCAGTCTAAAGCCCCTCCTTTACGAGATTAATATGCAAAATCAAAAAATTATATTCGTGATCATCATCGACATGGTCGTCATCGTCATTATTATTATTATCATCAATAATCCATCTATCATTATTATTCGCAGATACTGGCGTTTTTCCGCGAAGACCGTGATAAATTTACAACCCATGTGCGAAGTTCGTGCTTCCGTTTATGGGGAAGATAAGGTGGATGGTGCAGAGCGACACGTGTGGGGAAGTAAATTGTACGAGAAACTTCTTGGACATAGCCTACATTGAAAACGAGACAGCGACAAAGGTAGGCCTCCAAAAACAGAATTTTGAATCAAAACAGCCAACAACCTCAAATCAAAATGTGCCTCAGCTTCAAGATTTGATATTAGAAAAAATAGTGAAATAGATATTTTGCCTTTAATATTTAAGAAGAATTGTAACAATATTGAAAAACAGATCTAGTAGAAACCGGTTATTTTTATTTTTTTTTTTAAGTGCTTGATTGAAAAAGGGTCAGCCCATTACGTTTGGTACTTTAGACATGTTTGGAACTCAAGTCTTTTTCAGACCAGTGTACTTGCGTTTGAAAGTTTCTCACACTGACCAGAAGTGTAATAATGTCTTTTACAGGTCTATGTCAGCGGGCCTCAAAAAAATTCGAAGCAAAAAAAATGTGACTTGCTCTGCTGGGATATCATCCCCGAGGAATACAGAGTCCGCTTAAAACAAGATATTTTGCTACTTGATAACTATGATGAAATCCCGTTTCTGTATTTTGTTTACCTCTAAAAACATATAACATATAATACAGTAAAACATGCAAGTGTTCACAAATCACGATCACTGGGGGTCCTCGCCCTGAGAAAGATTCCAATGATTTGTTAGCAAAGAAAAGTATGTTTTCCACATGGTCACGTGATATCTATTGGAAATCTATGACGTCAAATGGCAACAGTACTCTCTTGGTCCCTCGATAAAAAGGTCATTTTGTTTCCCTCAAATCTCCATGTTTGAGATTAATGGGAAACAAATTAACTGTTTCCCCTATACCAGTCATTACGGTTTATTGTAGCATCTATCATGATATCATAAATACCGACTGGATTTAATTCACTCAAGTAAACTCATTGTAATTTCAGCCATGTCGGGTCGTAAACCTTCCGACGTTGAAAGCGAACAAGAAAATGAGCGAGATAGTCAGCAGATAGAGATGGTGAAAACACGGCCCAGAAAGCGGATGAAACATCAGCAGAACTAGTTGTAGTGAGCGATGGTTTGAGAGAAAAAAGAAAGGTGGAGACAGGTGAAAAGGCAGAGAAACGTGAAAGAAAAGGTAAGCCATTGGAAGGATTTGTTTAAGAATTGATACAGACTGAAAGCATTTCATTTCGCAGCAAAAAACAAAAATGTGTGGTCATGATTAGAATTTTCTTGCCAGTTCTTTTTATCATCGTTACTACTTGTTTTTATCTTTGAATAAAATAGATTACTTTAAAATAACTTATCTTACAACCGGATTGTTCAAAGG